TCCAAAGGTTGAAATCTGGTGCAGTGAGGTGGTGCAGTTGGTATCTATGGAGACGGTCATGTTCAGCTGGCTCACTGCTTCAAAAAGTTTGGTGCAATTTGGAAAGAGTTCTTAAAATATTTTGGTAACTAAATTATTATTCCTTGCACACTTCTCTCTATTTTTTTGGTTTACACTTGTAGAAGTTACCTTTGAAAGAAGCAGGAGGAATAAAATGAGGACAGGAAAAGAACCTAAGAAGGAACTTCCAGCTAAAGTACGTGGTTGTTTCTTACCTGGGGGCACAGGGAGGGATGTCGTAGTCAAGTGGGCTGTTTGTGAAGCTGTTACTTCAACCTACCGCGTCATTAGCTTGGACCCTGGCTCCTCATGCTTGCCATAGTGCCCTCTTTATCTCCATAGAGACAATTCACATGGCAGAGCATTTGTGGAACCTGGGCTTGCATGAATTTTTAATGGCATTAATAATCACTGTTTGCACTGCTGCAGTGCAGTATTAGCACAGGTTTTAACTGGGTCATCAGGAACTTAATTCATCATAATATACGCTGTGTTATTTTTTTGCCTTTTTTAACCACTGACATAGTCACACTGTGTCAACCACACCCCCACACACTCACTTAATTACACCTATCACATCTGCTTCCAGCAACTCTCCTTTATTCACAGCATGTTCCATTGATATGCAGGGATGTGCACCTACGAGACACAGGTGAAAGGAGTACAAGCAAAACCAGGGAGTCCATGCAGAAAAGGGCAGGACCTAGAAGGCAGTGACTGTGTCCAGCGCTTTACACAGCTGATTGCATTGTAGCTATCTGCCCTTTGCTGGAGGGAGAGACAAAATTTGTCTCTCTCCCTCTTTTCCTTGATTGCACTTCCTGTTAGGAGATGCTTACAAAAAGTGTGTGTGTTGGGGGGCTTTCCCCAAATATTACATCCAGATATTTAGTTGCAATTTCTGAGCTGCTGCCTTCCCTGGCATGTACAGGAAGCAAACAGCCATTAGTGCAGGACAGCAGTGACTGCACAGAGCTGTGGACTGGGCAGAAATTTTTCATTTTTTTTTCATACATCATTTACAGCTTGCTGCAGCAATTCCAGAAAGTCTGCACTGATCTCCTTACGTTAACATGGAGCAAATGGGAAAGGAGATAGAATTATTCTGTTGTTATTTAAAAGTCCTGTCATGTCTGGGCACATTCGGTGTTGCCGCTGATTTCATTTTTAATATACTTCACAGCTGTAACGAAGTCCTCTCTTCGGATTACACCAGAGAGGCTTGAATAACACTGTTATAAACAATTTTGCTTACAACAGTTCTGTATTCTGTGTCTCCCTTTGCTTGTCTGTTCTGTATTTTATCTTAATAGCACTGGCAGGACTAAGAAGTTTTGCATCGAGGGTGTCAGCAGCAGTGGTAGTTGCTGCTGTTCTTGCCCCCACCCCAAGATGGTGCCCAGGGCTGAGGTGCTTCTTGCCCAACCCTCGTTATGCTACTGATTAATAGTAGGCACTGGATTCTGATTTATTTAGATATGCTGGTATAAATCCAGAGCATCTCCACTGAGATCTGGTGGAGCTACTTCAGATTTACAGCAATGTAATTGAGATCAAGATATGGCCTGGGATCTTGTTTCTAAATAGCTTCAACAGTCCTTGCTGTGCATTCCTCACTTGGGATTGCAAAGGAGTAGGGGAGAAGTGGGTCAGAAATGACAAAGAGTCACTACTAATCCAGCAGTTAGCTGTTTGCCCTCTGCACTCCAGTTACTCCCCCTGTAAAAACAAATAGGGAGAACAAAAGCTACTTCCCTGCCTCCCATAGTGATTGGGAGGATTACATTAGTTAATGTTTGTACAACACTGTGGGCCAAATTCCCAGCTAATTTATAATCTGGACAAGTCAGTTGGGACGGATGAAGGCGCGAGTCAGAACAGAATTTGGGCTTATGTAGATGAAGAATGTCAAATGCGCCACAAATGTGATCAGGACTTGTAGTAGAGATGGTATTAGACCATCAAGATTTTTGCAAAAAAATTCTTTAATTGCAAGCTTTCAGGCACAAACACCCTTCATCAGGCGTCAGAGAAAAGATTGTTAAAAGTTCTCCTGGGTAGAAATGGAAGTTCATATTTCATAGGATTCACAGAGGAGTCAGTAGATGGAAAACTCCTCTGGGCAGTCAGTTCATAGCTGGTGTGGAGCCTCTCACCTCCTGTGAGGATGCAAATTACCTTGAAACAAAGGCAGATGCAGGATCTCAGGTTTCAGGTGGTCACAGTTGCTTCCTGCTTGGGAAAATATGAAGATTTCAGTTCAAAATGCATGTATTTTAATCTTGCATTGTTCTATGCCTGGGAATGCACAGTCACAATCATCTTATCATTTAAATTGCAAATTCCTTTAAACAGAGAAGCTGTCATTTGTGACGTGTTCGGATGGCACATGGCATGATGGAACTCCAACATGGTCCACCTCCACAGGTGTAGATGATGATAGGTATTAAATGATGGTGGTCCACTCACCCAGGTACGTAGCAGGGACATAACCCAACTATGTTGGAAGTAAGCAGCAGGAGCAGCTATGACCTTGGGAAAACCTGTTTGGATGCAGTGTCAGATGGCAACATGGCATAAGACAGGAGGCGAAGAAAATATTAACCAAGCAAAACTGAGACACAAGGAACTAGCGTCAAACAATGTGGCTCCATTTGGGTCAAGCAGCGGCTGACCTGATTTTTCGGACTAGAGTGTTTTCTATCAGGACCATGGGCTTATTTGACTTAACACACGCTGCCAATAAACAATAAAAATTTCCCATGCTTAATCTGCTGCTCACATTTCCCCAGATGCACTGTGACCATTTTGGATATTTTATTGACAGTGGTAAAGCACAGTCACACATCCTTAAGGTAACGAGAAGTGAGCACAAAATGTCTAATTCTGGGGGTTTTGTTGTTTGGAAGGTCATTCTGGACAGTGATTTCATGTGGCTGCATCAGAACATATGGCAGCGTTGCTTGCACTACTTATCAAGGGCAGCAGTAATCGCCCTTCCCAGCCCGTACCAGTATATGCTGTTGAATGGTTGACAATATGTTCCGGTAAACAAACCCATCCAGATAGAGACCCTGCTGTTATCCTTTTCCCCTTTGATTCCAGGCCAGGAACATCTCATGTGTCATGTGCAAGGCATGACTTTCAGAGATGCAAGAGAGCTGTGAAATATGCTGGTACCAGCTGCACCAGGAAACACCATTCAGCCCTGAGGGCAATTTAGTATGTGATAATTCTGGGCCTCATCTTATAAGGAAAGACTGAGAAAATAGTCCCCCATTTACATCCATTCCCCATCTACCTAAATGAGAAGCTACCATATTTTCTCATATATAATACACAGCAGTCCCTCAAAATTCAGACGCTCAGTTACTCTGCTACTTACTGGCTGCATCTACATGAGATGCTGACTGCACTGTTGCTACTGCATGGGCATTAAGTACTTGCATACACAAGTAGCTCACTACTACTGCACAGTAGTATTGCGTCCCGGTTCATGTTATACAAAGCTACTGCACGGTAGTAATGAGCTACTGCAGTAGTAAGGAGCTGCTGCGCAGTCAGCATCTCATGCAGATGTGGCCACTGCTGCTTACCAGCATTTTCAAAGAAATATCTTTTTTCTTCATTCAGCCTCTCAGAAACAAGATGAGTCTTTTATTCAGGACCATGTTGTAGTCAAGAAAATACAACCATGAAACATTTCCATGAGGGAGGTTTCTTCAGTTTTCCCATATTGACACGATAAATACAATTTGGATGAACTTATGTGTGGTACATTTAACAATAATTATATATACGTTTCTTAGCATCATTATTGGCTAAGGACCATATTCTACCATTCTTAGTCATATAAAGTAGTTTTCTGCTTAAATCTGTAGGGATAAGGTGCTTGTACACGTGAGTCAACGTGACCTCATCATTTCAGTTTCCATCACTGTATATATGTGGTTCTCCTGCTGGCCACAGGAGCCTGCTGGGGGCGGAGGTGGCAAGGGGCCTGGTCCTTTTTTTTTTTTCCAGCAGAGCATACCTGCCTCTCCCATGGTCGGGGGCTATTGATCTGTGCCATTAATCTTTCAGCTCGTCCCCTGGCTGCAGGAAAGATGAGCTGGCTCCTCAAAAAAAAAATAAAAAAGTATCAAAAGGATTGGGCCCCTCATCCCTTCTGCCTTCAGCAGGCTCCTGCGGTCAGCAGGATGTCTCAGGCCACTTAAGAACAGGCTGGCTTGCCCCTGGGACAGCGCAGGAAGGCAGCAGGAGGATGGCTGGTGTTGCTGGCAGCTGAAGTCAGCGGGGATGGTGAATGGGGCACTGGCAGCCCAGGTGGGCTGCTAGCTGGCCAAGTGCTGCCCCAGCTCAGAGGTTCCCAATCCAACACTTCCCCAAGCCTGCCCAGGCTTCCAGTGCCCTGGACACCATCCCCACCACCTTCTTTGGTTGCCAGCAAGCCCAGCTGCTCTTCTGCCACCTCCCCGTGCTGCCCCGGGGCAAGCTGGGTGTGCTGGCAAGCAGAGAAGGAGTTGGGAATGGTGCATGGGGCACTGGAAGCCCAGACAGGCTCAGGGAAGCATTGGACTGGGTGCCTCCAAGCTGGGGCAGCACCCAGCCAACTGGCGGCCTGCTTGGGCTTCCAGCACCCTGTGCACTGTCCCTGCTACCTTCTCTGGCTGTCAGCAAACCCAACCACCCTCCTGCCACCTTCCTGCGCTGCTCCAGGGGCAAGCCAGCCTGCTCCCAGGCAGCCCCAGGCATCCTACCAGCCGCAGGAGCCTGCGAAAGGCAGAAGCAGCGAGGGACCCAATCCTTTTTTTCTGCAGAGCCTGTCCGCCTCTCTTGCAGTCAGGGGGCGAGCTGAGTAATGGCTGCACCATTCCAAATTGCATTGCTGCAAACTAAACTTCATCTGGATCTAGTTTATTTTGCAATGATGCAAACTCATTTAAAACCCACAAAACATGGATACGTAACGTGTGACACCATTAAGCCACACAAAAGGACATTTTCGTCACATGTACAAGCACCCATAATTTGCAAAGTAAGCAATTATTCCAGGTGAATAAGAGAGTTAGGTCTGAGAATACCTACATTTCAACACTTCAAGATCCCTGAAGTGAAGATAAATGGAAGGAACAGGTGAAAAGTTTAGAAAGAATTATTTGTATCTCAGGTGATGATGGACCAGATAGAATATGTTATCAGCACTAGTTCTTTGAAGCACATTTGAAGGAAGAATATTTGACTTCTGTGGTGGTAGCATAAAACCTGTCCCTACAGCGGTT